AAACAGCCTTCTTTAGCTGATTCAGAATTTTATTTACAACTGAATTCTGATTGGATGGAATCAGGTATTTGGTATAAAAAGAATCATGTAGGAAAAATAAATTAATAAATTTTATGCGTGAAATTGGACGCATCACACAAATTGATATTCCTATAGAATTACTTACAAACCATTCGGGTCAAAAAACTGTAGCCCAATGTTTACAAGATCGTGACATTTCTGAACAAGCAATTATGCAACTTATGGGACATAAGAGCGTTCAAGGAATTCATGCTTACAAGCAAGTTAATGAGGATCAACAACTTAATACTATAAATACCTTGATTAATATCACAGATGGGTCTGCAAACAATAACGATAACAATAATAATATAAGTTCACAAACTCCATTGCAGAAAATTACAAATAATATGAATTTTACAGAAAATAGTTTTAATTCTAGTAATGAAAAAATTCTCTCAAATACTATTTTTAACAACTGTTCTTTTACAAATGTTACATTTAATATTCAAAAATAGCGAACTTATTATTAAATTAGAATTTCAATGCTTTATGTGTTTTCTTAATATTAAATTTGCAAATTAATAAATGCTTATAATAAAACCAATGCATTAGTTTATAAAATTAAAATTGCGCAGTTATATAATTTTTAAAGTATTGACTAGTTTTATTATAACAGTAGCTATAACAATATCGACTGTAAAGATATCAGCCGTGAATATATCAGCCGTGGAGATATCAGCCATGAAGATATCAGTTATAGTACTAAATATTGTGACGTAAACTGTGAAGATAACAGTAAAAAAAATCATGAGCGATCAATTAGGAGCCGTGGGATAAGAACTTATAAGCATATACCTTTGTAATGATTATTTACTTTTTTTGGAAAAGTTATTACACAACAATAACGATAATTATTAAATGCAAGTTTTAGCAGATCATAATAAACTTTATTTCAAAATATGTCAAAAATGATATAAAATATTGATATATATCTGTTGCACTAATTTAAACGAAAATATGAAAATACTATGTCATCTTTTATAAACGAAATAGAGGAAACATTCTGTTTTTTTTTTTTTAAGCAGTAAATTCTTTAGTGTATCTTAATATCGAGATTTTTATGTAAATTGGGCATGCATATTAATGTATTAATATGGGGCAAAATGCCTTCGGTACATATAAATTAGTAAATTTCAGAAATATATTAATTAAAATATAGGCAGATATCGAACAAAAGTAAAGCACAATAACTTTTTTCATTAAGCAATTACTGCTAACTTTCAAGCACTTTTATTATAGTCAATTCATAATCTTAAGTAATAAAAGAGTAAGTAGCCATATATATGTATTGCTTTTCCAAGGAAAAAATATCACAGATTTGGTTTTTTTTTTTTTTTTTTTTGAGTGTAAATTTTCTAAATGTGAAAATTGTTATATATATGTATAATGTGGTGTGTATATTAATATATTATGCCTGGTCTGTACGTATAAGTTAGTAGGTTCCAAAAGTATACTTATTATTTGAAATATATAAAATATAAGATGTTAAACCAAGGTAAAATAGCCATAATGTATTTCTTTCATTAATTCAAACTTTCACTAACTTTCAAACCTTACACTCTTTATAAGTTGCTATGTAAGAAATATTATTCAATCTCATGATGATTTTAAATAATGCTAGAATAAACTGCCATTATATATTATTTTTACAAGGCAAAAAAAAATCGTATATTTGTTTTTTTTTTTTTTTTTTTTTCATCCTTTACTGTAATAACAATTTATATATACCATATTATGGCAATATTTGACACTTTTCTTCAACTTTCTTTGAAGTAACCATAACAGATTCAAACTTTTCTTCTATATCTTTATCATCTTTATTATAGATAATATTTAATATCAAATTTCAGCAGATTAAATAATATTTTTTTGTTTATCCACTTATATTTAATATTTAGTTGTTCACTCTGATTTTTTATTATTCTTTTATTATTTTTTCGAGGGGATTTTTTTCCTGTTGAGATACTAATTGGCATTCTTAATATTTCTGATTTTAAATACTATTCTAATGTTTTCTTTTCGCTTTGAGCTATATAGTTACTATTTGATAACTATAATTTACATTTAAATATATTCAAATACCTTCTGTTCACTCTTGTAATGCCTACACCCTCTACAGTATAGTACATATTAGTATTTGATTCTTTATTTTTTTTTTTCGAGCTTAGCTTGGTTCATTAATAGTTTGAAATCTTTACTTAAATATGAATCTTGATTCATTATTTGAATCACGTGAGTATTTACTAATTCTGAATTATATAATAACAACATTCAATTACTAGTCTATCAAATTAACATTTTTATATAAATAGAATCTCTATTCGAAATTTAAATATTTTTCTTCTCTTATTTCATATTGGTTTGTGAAAAGTAATGAGATAGAGAGATAATTATTAAGACAAGACATTCATACTTGAATTTTTAAAGCTTGATTAGAACGTATAATAATATCTCGTGATCTTTAATCATACATAAATATGCATCAGCATGATAATCTATACAAAAATCATCTCTACTTTGTGCAAGAGTTGTCTAGTAACATGAAATATATGGAGCAAGAAAATGTACCCAACTATAATTTTTTAAGCGATATTGAACCTGGTTCAAAAGAAAATGTTGATGATGAGTTTTGTACAAGACAATCAAAAAGATCTAGCAACTTATCTGAAACTACAGCAAAAAAAAAAACTAAAAAACAATTAAACAAAAATACAACTTTATTATCAGAAATGTTAAGTGATAAAAATAATAATAAACACAATAATGATCATTTAATAAACGAAGGCGATGTAACTAATGAATACGATAGTGATCATACAACTAGCAGTATATTTAAAAGTAGTACTAGCATGAATCAACCTTCTAAGCCTAACCTTAAGGATCTTCAACTTGTACCCATTGATATAGTACCTGGAAA